TTACATCAAAATATAAATCTCAACAAACTCAAAGTTGAAGTTGAAGTTAAAATCGGCGTAATTATCGGATCTATTTAGTATAATTTATTATAAATTAAAAATTGATAATTAAAAAGTTGAAGTAAAAAATATTATTCTTCTAGTTGAGATAATAAAAAAAAATTATTTATGTTATTTATGCCTAATAAACTAAAATTATACTAATCAGTCTAATATAAACTTTTAAAAAATAAATAAATAAATAAATAAGCTACAATATGCAGCAAATAACATAAACATGTCTTTTGAAATATGTTTTGGTGTGTCCAATCAGTTGTAAAACTTTAATGATTACATGGCCTTATATTGTATAAATTTATCACAAATGATAGAGATCCCTTGTTTTACCCTTACAATTCTTACAGACACATGTCAGAGAGTGATCGAAGAAAAAAAAATCAAAAATAAAAAAGCAAAAAATTGACCAATTCCAATATATTGGGGGTGGTGGGAGTCAAGAAAAAATGAGATTTCAACCTTTTTCCATAAATTTATATATGAATCACTTAGGGCATGTTTAGTAATCATTTTATTTTTAGCTTTCAGTTTATATTTTAAAAAATTTTAAAAACTGTCATAATAACTTATTTGATAATTTTTTTAGTTTATAAATGACTGTCTCAGTTTATAAATTTGAGGAAAAAAATGAGTTTACGTTGGTTTTTAAACAGAAATTTAAAAAGTTGACTAACAATTTTTTTTTCAAATAATTTCTTTTTCAAATATTTTTTTAATTATTTTTTTTCAATGATTTTTTTTCTTCAAATCAATTGTAATGTGTATGATCCCATTGTCATAAATAATAAAAAATAAATATAAGTATTTTAGGAATGAACAAATATATTTTTTAGTTTATGTTTTTTAAAATTTTTAAATATTTTGTTCAAACCAAATGCATTTGTAGTTTATGTTTTTCTAAAAATAAACAAAAACCAATTTATAAAATTTTTATAAACATAAACACAAAACGTAAACATTATCAAACACTATCTAATATCTTTATTATTTTAAAATTATTTTGTATACACACCATTTTTTTTTTCAAATTTTCCTAAATTAAGGGGGGATTTAAAAAAAGTGAAAAGTAGAAATAATAATTTCAAAATGATGACAGTATAAATTTTTATTGTATAAATTTATGTATCAACCACTTATATTTTTATTATTTTAAAATTATTTTGTATACCCATTAAGTTTTTTGAAATTCTCCTATTATTTTAAGGAGGAATTACATACAGATGGGAGTTCAAAAAAAAATTACCAACATATAGAGCGATGCCAGTAACACTTGTACCCCCACAACCTTTCATTTGCACCCCACTACAAACAAATTTATATTCCTTATATATTTGTAATTTTTTTTTTCAACTCTTACCTACATAGTTCCTTTTATTTTAAACTAGCGCAATTCAATGATAATTGGTGCTGGAGTAGACGTTAATCCAGGAAATTAAACCTGTTTGCTGAGCAAATCTACCTGAAGGCAATATGTGATGATTCATCCAATACAGACCTATATTTCTCTCTCTTTTAAATATTATAAAATTTTATAATTATAAGCTATTGTGATGTTAATTATTTATAATATCATTTTAATTATATCTTAAGTAATATTTATTTATAATTTATATATATATATATATATATTTGTTTTTTTGAACAGAATTTTTATAAAATTAAATTATAATAGTTATGATAATCAAATATCATAACATTACCTGTAAATACTTTTTTTTTAGAAAAATCTTCCTCCTCTTCCACAATTCCAAGGTAGTTGCCTCTTACACAGATCGCCAAAATATCTGTTGTTCATTTCAAATAAGGAGACTATAACGTAGAAACTTATCTCGATCTCCAAAGACAAGCTCCGCTTAAGTCAAGACTCGTAAATAAAGAAATTATAAACTTGTTCCGATCTCCCTAAACAAACTCTTTTTAAGTCAAAATTCACGCAACAAAACAACATTAAACTCACACCAAATACTGAGACTAATTAACCCAAAGAAATTTTAAACCTAAAACTTAAAGACTTAATCCCCAAACCTTTGTCAAATTGCCAACCACCTTGGGTTACCCGTAAATACTTACTCGCATAATATGTATATATTTGTTTCTCTCACTTTTTTTTGCACGCGTGGCCCATATTCATTTCTGCACGACAAAGATGCGGTCACCGCCGTTGCCATTCATGATTATTCACATTTAAGAGATCAAATGAAGTTTTACTTCGTGTTTTTGGTGTAAATTATTCATTGAAATTTGGGTCGCAATCATTGTCAATGTAAATTATTGATTGTTTTTGGGTGATTTTCTGAGTTTTTTTTTATTTTTTTATTTTGTAGTATTATTATTCAGAGAAGGGAATAAAACATATGTGCAGACAACTTTTGCAAAAAAAAAAAAAAATGGCTAGAAAAAAAAAAAGGCTAGAAAGTTATTGTGCGATCTATTTAATTCATGTATCGTGGAGTTTACATATAAAATTAATTTGAGTTATACAATGATTTTTGAAAAAATTATAATAAAAAAAATTTAAGACTTGAGTCTTCTAACAAAACATACTTTGAATTTTTAATTCCGTCAATTTAAATTTAATTTTTTTTTTATTTATTTTCAATATAAATCGTTTATCTATTTTTGTTAAGTAAAAAGGCAAATTGTGACAATACACTATAAAAAATTAAGGTTCAAAATTTATGGACAAAATTATTTTTTAGGGACCAAATATTTTTGTTACAAAAAGTGCCGTTATTATATTTTTAGCAATAAAAATTAGGTATTAGTGATGAATTATTATCCTTTTGGGATCAAATTTTTTGTCTAAAAAAATAAACAATTTTGACACCAAATTATTTTGTCGACATTTTCAAAATTTTGTCATTAAAAGCCTTATTTTAGACTTTTCGGGATGACCTTTTAGCGACTATCCTCATGATATATAATAGAAATTGGTTCTTAAATGTCTTTTATAACAAAATTTTCACTTTTAGAAACCAAAACATTTAATAATCTCTAAAACTCTTATTTGCTGTAGTGATAGTCCATGTACTTTGGTCATTGTGTTATTTTGGTTCCTATAATTTCAATTAGCTCGATTTTGATTATGAATTTATGATTTTGTTTCAATTTGATCTAATTGATTACAACTTAACATTTTTTTTTAATGAAAAATATGCGTATAAGTGACATGTGTCATATTTTTTTTGAGTAAAATTATAAATTTACTAAACTCATTGAGTTGAAACTCTACCAATTCAGTGATTATTTTCCGTCAAAAACACTAACAACATTATCAATTAAACCAAATTTACACATAATTTTAAATTGAGCCAATTGAAAGTGGAGGGACCAAAATGACACAAAGAGCAAAATGTAAGAATCACCTGTGTAATTTGTCCTAGGTAAAACTATTAGAAAAATAATATTTTAGTCATTAAACTCAATAATTTTTTTTTGTATTTTTGACATATTCTGTACATCCACATAAAGTATAATGACTAAAATATCATTTTTGGGTCAATTTTACTTTACGAAAATAGACAAATAGTTTAGATTGAAAACAAATCAAAGATTAAACTTTAAATTGAGAAAATCAAATATTAAAAATTATTTTGTTGTAATTATAAGCCTCAAACTCTAGATTTTTTTAAATAATTTTCCCATTATTTTTTAATATATTTCTGTAACAAATGATTTTCTTAGTATGCTTTTTTGGATGAATTCTATGGGAACAGATATATGCTTTGTACCTTATAAAAACACTATAATAATTCGTCATTTTTACTATAAAATAATATAATTTTTTTCACTAAAAAATTTAATTTTTTATTAATCACAAAAAAAAATTAATTTTTACCACAAAATAGTATAATTTTGTGATTTCTAACTTTATGTACACACCACAATTTCATCATATCCTAATTTTTATTGCAAAGTAACAAATTATTTTTGTTTGGAAGTATTTGCTTATGATTATAAGATCCTTTTTTGTGCTTATCTAATTGGGATAGCTCATCTTTTCGCAATTCATTGATGTAATTATTTTGTTACCATAATAAAGGATTTCTGTTTGGCTCATAAAAAAACTTAATAAATTACATAACATAACATATTATAAATATTTATAATAACTTTTAGGAAAATTTACCCATAAGTCCTAGTTTCTGAAAAGTTGTACCATTTAGTCCTAAAAGTTTTCTTATGCTCCATTTAGTCTCATTTGCACATCAATCTAATGTTTGAAACATTAATCTGATATTTGAAATTTAATGTTCGAAACATTAATCTGATGTTCGAAATTTAATGTTCGAAACATTAATCTGATGTTTGAAACATTGTAATGGGACCTTTCAGTCTATAAGAAAACTTTTAGGACTAAACAATGTGTAAGTTATTAATTTGGGATTTATTGGTGCATCCCCCTAACTTTTATTATAAAAATAATTACCTTTTCTAATAAAGTACGTCTTTTTTAAAGTGCAACTTATAGAATTCACTGAAAGGCCACAAAACATAGGCTCGGGATTGTTTCTAGTCTAGATTTGGGATAATTTGGTCTAGTTCGACTCGTTGAGTTCATTTTTGATTTCTTTTTCGATAATCAGAACCGTTCATATTTTAAGATTTGTTGAGTACATTATTTCTGTAAAAAATCATGTCAATCAGAAAACGGATACTATGTATTCGGATCACTTTTGTATGAAAAAAAGCAACAATCAGAAAATTAAAGGTACATAAAAAAGTGATCCGAATAAATAGTATCCGTTATCCGATCGACATGATTTTTTACAAGAATAATGTACTCAATATATTTTAAAATGTGAACGGTTCAGATTATCAAAAATGAGCCCAATGGGCAGGATTGGACCCTCCAATCCAGATGGTGGAACGGAGGCAAGCCCAGCCAAAAAGATATATATACTAGTACAATAGTTAGAGTAATAGAGCGTGTGAGCGAGCAAAAACAAAAATAAATGGACAATACGTATTTGATTGTTGCAGTGTTAGTGACCTCAATCTTCTTGTTGTCTTCCTCCACCATATTTCTCTACAGGAAGAGAAGGAGTTGTAGAAGATCGCCAGTCCCACTTCCATTAGGCACTCTTGGATGGCCTTTTCTCGGCGAAACCATCTCCTTCGTCTCCTGTGCTTACTCAGACCACCCTGAGACCTTCATGGACCAACGTCGCCACATGTATGTCTATGTTTGATACAGTTTATTTGAGTTGTTTATAACTTTATTTTTTATTTTAAGAATCTATGTTAGATTGTTTAGACTTCTACTAATAGTTTAAATAAGTTTTAAAAAATTAATTATCTAAAAATTGATAGAAAAATTTGCTTTTTAATTATCAATTTTTAACTTATAATAACCTATACTAAACCGGCTAGAATCAAAACCCACATAATAGCTTGATTAAGATGAAACCAAGTTTGGGGACTATGAAGCACGGATACTTCAAAAAGGGTGACGTATCCGTATCGGATACTTATCGGATACCGATACTCCTCGGATACTCGCGGATATGTATCGGATACTTCTTAAAAGTATCAGATACTTCTTAATTAATTTTTTATTAATTTTGAAGTATCGGATACTTAATTTTGAAGTATCGGATACTCGAAGTTATATATTACTTATAATATTTTGTTTAGTTCTTTGATAAGAGGAATATAGTGAGAGTTAAAGTAATAGAATTTGTCAAATTGATGTATCCTTGTTGTCTCTCTCGCTTTTTCACTCTCTCATGTTTCTTCTCTCTGCTCTCATTCTTTTTTTGGTGTTGGCATGTAAGAATGATGTTTAATTTGCATTTGCATTTGCATTTGCTTTTGCTTTTGCTTTTGCTTTTAGTTTTGGATGTTTTATGAATATTTGAGCACTTTTAGGTTAATAGGAATCCCTCTCCTTATTTATTAATTTACTTTAAGTTTTATTTTCATGCATATTACATTATTAAAATTATATAAAAAAAAATTTATGAATGTATCCCCGCTGTACCCGTATCGTACTTTTTCAAATTTTGACATATCGCCATATCCACATCCCCATATCACCATATTCGTATCCGTGCTTCCTACGCTATCATTGATGACTTAAAAAAGTATATTTGCTGAAATTTTTATTTAAGAATGGTTTTTTGGCTTTAGCTAAGGTCTTGTGATATTCAATGATGAAGAGGAACAAATTGAAGCTATTGACCTTGAAAACTCTTAGTTTTATATGAATCTTTCTTCTTTATCAAGTTGTCTTTTGCTTTAGGTTTTATTTTTATGCATACTGTATTACTAAAAATTGTTAAAATAATATTTTTTACGAACGTATCCCCGCCGTACCCGTATCCTAGTTTTTCAAATTTTGTCGTATCGCCGTATCCGTATCGTATCGTATCGTATCGTATCCGTATCCCGTATCCGTATCCGTATCCGTACTTCCTAGTTTGGGGATTACATGAATTACGATATAAATTTTTATTTGTAGGTATGGGAAGGTGTTCAAGTCACATTTATTTGGAAGTCCTACAATTGTGTCCACAGATGCAGAAGTGAGTAGATTTGTTTTGCAAAGTGATAGCAAGGCTTTTGTGCCTTCTTACCCCAAATCTCTCACAGAGTTGATGGGTAAATCTTCTATATTGCTCATCACTGGAAGCTTGCAAAGGAGAATTCATGGCCTCATAGGGTCTTTCTTCAAATCCTCACATCTCAAAGCTCAGATCACCCAAGACATGCACAAGTATCTCCAACAATCTATGGAGAATTGGAGAGATGATCACCCCATATACATCCAAGATGAAGCAAAAAATGTTTGCTCTCTCTCTCTCTCTTAATGAGTGCCATTTCTCTAGTTTCTCTTGATGTTTATTCTTTTAATCAGAAATATTAAAAAGAATTTAAATGGATGGTGCAAATTTATTTTTTTGATGAATGATGTGATGTGAGTCACTTATAATGAATTTTAAATTTATATATTTTTAATTTTGATAGTTTTTTTGAGTAATTTTTTTTGAATAAGTAGCATTTCTAATATACTGGCTTTTAACTAACAATTTTACAAGGAACCCAATAACATGATTTCCTATGAATTATTTTACCTGACAAACTATCATAATAATTATCCTTAATAGTCCAAAGTAATGATGAACCCTAATCCTTATTTATATATTACTAAGAGTAATAATTATGTTTCTAAACCCTTTAAAGATGTTACTTATACTAAAGGTCATATGTTTTGTTCAGATTGCTTTTCAAGTACTAGTGAAGGCATTGGTTAGCATGGATTCAGGTGATGACACGGAGTTTCTAAAAAAACAATTTCAAGAATTCATGGCTGGTCTCATGTCTTTACCAATTAACATACCTGGAAGTAGACTCCACAGGTCATTACAGGCAAGTTAATTATATAGTCACATTAATTTCTTTATTTTTCTTATTTTACACTATTATGAGAAATTAATAATAAATTTGAAGATGGGTTGTTTCAGGCAAAGAAGAAAATGGTTGAATTAGTACATAAAATCATCGAAGCAAAAAGGAAGAATAGAGGCAGATCAGAAGTTGCAAAAGGAAGTATGATTATTATGAGTTGCCTTGGTTTTTTTTGAGAAGAATCTGCTGGTGAAGATGGAGATGAAGCAACAACAATAGCAGGAGATGGAAATGGAGATGGAGATGGAGATGGAGATGGAGGTAGAGGTGGAGAAGGAGAAAATATAGGTGGAGATGGACCACCAGAAACAACAATAAATGGAGTAGCAGCACTTTTAACAGCAGCAGGAGATGGAAGTTGGGGATTGCTCGAAGGTGCAAAGGATAAGAAATGAGATGGAGGTTGAGCATTGCTGAAAGGTGTAGAGGATAAGAAAAAGGTTATAATAGCAGCAACAGTAGTAACATAATAATAAATCAGCAATGCTAGGTATCATGAAAAACCTTTCATGAAAATAATCATGAAAGCTTTGTGACCCTTGGATTACACTTAGAATAAAGCACCACACACTAATCAAGGTAATCCAAAGATCATAACTCTTTCATGATCATTTTCATGAAAAATTTTTCATGATCCCTAACTTTTCGCATAATAAATAGTGCAACAACAACAACAACAACACAGATCCGTTAGAACTCTGTTTCTTCTTCTTGATTACTAGTCTTTGGTTTTCTTTTGTTGGGAGAAGAAGGTTGCAGAAGAAAGGTGAGTTGTAAACTCCAGCTTTCGTGTCCGGCAAATGCAGAACAGTGAGTAAAGTGATGCATTTCAAATCAATCTTAAATCACTATTACAAGAATTATTGCAGGAGTCCTTGAAATGTTTTTTACGTTCCCCGCTCCTTTTGTTACGTCAAAAAAAAAAAGGCGCAAAGATGAGCTCAGAGAGCCACTGTGTTGGACTGATTATTTATCTCTTCCATTCACCCAAACCGTAAGTTCTTCATTATTATTCACCAAAATCTAACTAATAATAACAAATTATCAAAAAATAAATAAAAATTGTTTTCCCATAGAGCATATATATTAAATCCTAGAAAAAATGTTAATTGTTAATTGAATAATTATAACAGGTGATTACAGAAACTCTGAGGATGGGAAACGTAATCGTAGGAGTGATGAGAAAGGCGATGAAAGATGTGGAGATAAAAGGGTATCTGATTCCCAAGGGATGGTGTGTTTTCACGTATTTTAGGTCAATTCATCTCGATCAAAATCTCTATGACTCCCCTTATCAGTTCAATCCATGGAGGTGGCAAGTAAGAAAAAGAGCACTCTTTAATTTGTTTGGATTTTTATTTGTTTTGCTAATCTGTTCCATTGTTATTAATTTGATCTTAATTTGTACTAATTAACTGTCAGTTGTGACCACTCACACTCACTCTCACTGTCACTGCAGAACAGAGAAATGATGAGCAATTATAGTAGCATATTCACTCCATTTGGAGGAGGACAAAGGCTGTGTCCTGGGATTGACTTGGCCAGGCTTGAAGCTTCCATCTTCCTCCACCACTTTGTTACTCAATTCAGGTTACTAGCCCCCACTATAATTCAGCTTTTATAATTAATGTTTTATGCTATATATGCTCTTTAAATTACAAATATTGGAAACAAAATCCCTTTTTAGAACGAAAAATCTTATTATATAAATTATTTTATGATTGATTTATGTGCACATAAGAGTGTTGCTCTTGAAACTATTGATTTTATACAAATACCATGATTAAAGTTACCATATATATTTACACATAATAATACTTGAAGAGTTGGAGAAAGTTTAAAATAATTCAAAATTTTATTAATCACCAAGCTCCCTTAAATTAAACCATTTCAGTGCATGGTTTTTATAGAAAAATCAATCCTAAAATCCTAGGCATGTGTGCTCCTTTTTTTTTTTTTTTTTTTCTCTGATCGGCAAAATTAAAGTTTTATTGATAAAAAAAACAATATACATGCAAAATTTACATTAACAAAATAAAAAAATACACTGAGTATCATAGCTAGCCTCAACAAATCAGTGATCATGACCTCAATCCCAAATCATCTCTAACATAATTGATTTGTCAAAAATAAATCTCCAACATAATTGTTATAAATTGTTACTCAAGCAAAACATATATATATATATATTATCACATTCTTTACTTTAGAAAGAGAGATATATTATTAAAAAACAGTCGCTTCACTTCTTTTCATTGAGGGTAAAGTGTATTTTAATGAGAATAACTTTAAATAATCCTTACCTATAAGAATGTGCAAGTAAAAATTATGACAGAACACAATTCTTACTTATACTCCCATAAAAATATAGATATGGGTTGAAAATCTACAATTTTATATTTTATTAGAAAGTTAACAACATTCATAGTATATTATTGTGTCAAATTGTGAAAACTTTTTGGATGTCTCAAATATTTTCAAAAATTATAATTATTGAATTATTTTCAATTTTATCCTTTATTAAATGGATATATAGAAATTAGTGATTTAATTAATTTGATGCGAGAAGGAGTTAGAAGGAGCTTTCAGTTTATTTCCAAATTTTGCTTAAAGACGGAGTGAGCAGTGAACTAGATTTGACAGACTTCCAAAGTAGGTTAAGTATAACAAAACCATTTCAATGCAACCTAGACCTAACTCTCTCTGATCTGTACATTTTACCAAACTGATTTACTATTCATGTCAACCATTAAATATTTCGTGGGTTCTCTCTCTCTCTCTCTCTCTCCAGATTAATAATGGCATGTCCAGACAAGAATTACATGCATCTATCACCCAGCTCCTTCATGCTGTGTTCATTTTTCATTTTGGAACAGATGGACTAAACTTTTGCAGGACACAGGCATTCTTAACCTTGGACGTTTCTGTCACGCATTTTATAAGTTAAAACTTAATAATCAAAAATAAAAATTAAAAAAGTTTTGATTCTTTTAAGTTGATCATCTTAATTTGAGAGAGTATTTGAGTTTATTGGGACTGACCTTAGTGATTCAAACTATTCACTTTTTAAGATTCGCTAAGAACATGATTCATACAAAAAATTAATATGATCATACATTAGTATCACAAAAAAATAGACGAGTATTCTTGAATTATAATTGTCATCTACTTTTAAAAAAAAAACAAATGTAATTCAAATATATTGTTACCGATGTCTGATAATCTTAATTTTTTTGTATAAAAATTCCTAAAAGTGAACAATTTGGATCCCATAAAAAAATAATAAAATAATAAAAAAAAAAAATCGGAACACTAAAGTCTAGCTCAAAATGAGTCCACCAATCCCTCTCAAGTTGGTCATCCAAACCCAATTAAAACACTTCTTTATTCCTTTTCAATAATTAATTTTTTTTTTCAACTTGTACAGGCTATTTTTGTCTCATAAATTATAAACAGAAATGACATTAAACATTACAACACAAATTTCAATATATATACATAAACAATTTCACAAGTTGAACCAAACATGAACCTCATCTAATATTATTAATGTGTCATAGAATTGTACACATGATAATACAATAAATAGCCAATTAAAATACTTCTTTATTCCTTTTCAATAATTAATTTTTTTTTTCGACTTGTACAGGCTATATTTTTGCCTCATAAATTATAAACAAAAATTGCATTAAACATTATAACGCAAATTTAAATATATATACCTAAACAATTTTACAGGTTGAACCAAACATGATATTACAATAAATTCTGATGGGTTTCACTGTTTCCATATCATATGCTTAATTGGGTATCTAAATTTCTCTTGCCTTATGTGATTGTGTTTTTTATTTATAATGAGGGTATCCGAAATTTTACCGGATTGATTCACATGTACATGTTGTCTCTTATCTCATACATACATGAATCTTAAGATGACTCCAAGAGAATGAAATGCTTTATGATTTTATTCATTTATTTATTTATCTTTGTCAAAGACTTAAATCAAATTGATGAAGAAAAATAGTAGTTATAAGGCATTGAATTTTGATGAGGTACATGCATGCAGATGGGTAGCTGAGGCTGATTCAATTGTCAACTTCCCTACTGTAAGAATGAAGAAGAGGATGCCAGTGTGGGTCAAAAGGAGAATATAAAAACTTCATTTGAGCTGATGATAATTTTAGCTTTTCCGAAAGGAACTTTTCTAGGGTGGGCTTCCATTATTCCATACAAATCAAGACAAAACATCAAATACATACACCAACGTGAAAAAGCAGGCAGACAGACTAAAAGCAAAAGGACTTCTGAGTTGGCTGCAATGCACACGTGTGGTGGGGGCCACGCAATGTTGACATATTTGTCCTGTTTCTTAGGTATAGCTGTTGCACATGTAAAGACTATATATACAGATAGACAATGGTAAATTACACGAACCAAGATCCCTGCTTACATTTCTCCCTTATATTTATTTCTTCCTTATATTTCTTACGTGTAGGGTTATTGGACCTACTTAAGTTTAATTTTTATAATTTAAATTGTTCATATTTTAAGATTTATTCAGTATATCACACTTATAAAAAATAAAGTTAATCGAATATCAGAAAGAATGTGTTCAAAAAATTATTTATTAAATTCTTTAAAAAAATAATTTTTAGTTCGAGTTTTCCAAACACATGTTTTCTGATATCCGATCAACTTGATTTTTTATAGATATGATATATACTAAATAAATCTTAAAATATGAACAGTTCAAATTATCAAAATTATATCTAAAAGTATGCCCAATAATCCTGCAAATAAGAAATATAAGAAAGAAATGTAAGGAGGAGATGCTGATTCTAATTACACACACCTTGTGTACTGACACCTCTCCTGAAATTACACTAATCTATTAAATTACATTCACTTTGCTAGATTTGTGTTTTTTTAAATTTTTATTTTTTATTTTTCATATTTTTTTATTTTTAGACACATTTAACATAAATATTTTTTGTGAAAATTTTTTTTTAAAAATTTATTAGATACTAAAAATACAAAAATACTGTATATTTTTCATATTTTTGTGTATTTATTAATTTTTTAAAATATTTTTTCACAAATATTTTACTTTTTAGACACATCTAAGTAAAATACATCTAAAAAAAAAAATACTTTAAATTTAAAAAATATTCACTAAAAACAAAATAAAAACACAAAAAGTAAAAAATTCAATTTTTAAAAAAAACGAAACACATTGATTGGTATTCCTCTTAGTTGGCTTATTAAATATAATGATTAAATGATTATATTATTGACTTTTTTTTAGCAGTTCGAATGTTAAAAAATATAAATTTGCACATATTAGTAAAGATTGAATAAGCTAAATAAATGACCAAACGAATATGAGCGAGAGAGATTAAGTCAGAAATAAAGTAATTGATTAAGTGAATAATTCAATTACACTTGTGTTACCTTGGTTCTTCTGGCAACTTCGAAGGTGAAAAACTAGTAAATAAATTACAAGTTATAGTTAAGGCTACTCTTATGAAAAGTAAAGTGCAGAGCAGGAAAAGAGAAAAACAAAAATTTGATGAGTGTTGAATTTGTTCGGGGTCCTTATGAAAAGTAAAGGACCACGCAACCCTTCTTTACATGAAAAAGGAATAGGAAGAGAAGATTCATTTGATTTTGGTGGAGGTGGGGTTAGATGGGTGGGTCGCCCGCAAACAAGATAGAGATAAGATAGATAAAATGGGATGGTCTTGGTGAAGGCATTAATTGTAGAAAACGTAGTGTTTGGTAGTGAGGCCACTGATAAAATGGGATTGTTTAGCTGTTGGGATAATTTATTCTTGTTGGAAGGGAGAATAATAAGGGAAGTTAGGGAGAGGTCCTCCATATATTTTGTATAAGAGTTTAAGGATAACAAAAATTAGTTTGTTAGCTAAGATACCTAAGATTCAAAACTGTAAAAGGATAAGGACAAATTTTGACATACATGAACTAAAATGCCCTTTCAATCTTATAAACCCTAATTTTTCTTTAACCAAATATCTATTTCTCTCTCTCTCTCTCTCAACCATATCTATCGACACTCCGTCATCTACCACCGAAAACATCTCACTCTAATATATGTATAGATCTAGTATGTTTCCGGTTGATTTGTTTCATTATCATTGATTTGTGCAAAAATCTGATGTAAAAATTTTAAATCTCTTTTCTGTCATCTCATCTCTCATTCTTTCTCTCTCTTTCTATTATTTTCTTCATGTTTCTACGTTGAAAATCGAAATTTCTGTCTCTATTTTTTTTTTTTTTTGAAGCATAAAAAATTTGTGTCTCTATGTGTCTGAGCAAAATTTATCTATGCCTTTGTTTTTCTCTCTGTCTTTAAGCGAAATTTCTCTGACTTTGCACATCGAAATTTCTCTATCTGTGCTTTTGTGTTGAAATAGAATTTTCTTTGTGTTGAAACATAATTTTTTTGTCTCTGAGTGAAATTTCTTTGACTTTGCACATTGAAATTTTTGTCTCTATGTTGAAATAGAATTTTTTCTACGTTGAAAAACAATTTTCTCTATGTTTTTATATTTTCTCTGTGTCTCTGTGTTGAAACATACACAAAAAATATACATATATATATATGTATATGATTTTGCACATCAAAATTTCTCTGGATGAAATTTCACTCTGTGCCAAGTCAGAGAAATTTTAACACGGTAAAATTTCATGATTTTTTTTTTAGAATTTTATATTACTCGATCTTGTTTGAAAAATCTTGTCAATATGATTCTAAAAAGATAAATTTTACACAAAAATGAAAATGTACATCGAAAGTTATTAAATTTTAAAGTTTTGAATTACTTAAGTAGTGTAAATGGAAAGTAGCTGTATAGGGCTATTTTTGTCCAAAATAGTTAACTGTGCTTATTGGAGGACGGGAGGCTCTAAATGTACCCCAAAAATTAGGTTGGATACCCCATTACTTTAAGCACCCTAATAATAAATTTGAAATTTTATTTATTTGTTTAGACATCCCAAATAATACGTATCCTAATTTGAAACCCCCTAAAACCCTATGCAAATCTACTTTGTACACCCCATTACCCATAGACAAATGAACAAAAATAGAAGAGAATTTTAAGCGACGAAGATGGTTCATTTGAGACGAAGGTCTCCTCTTACTCTACATCCACTGGCAGTCTTCTCCCACTCTACATCAGACGAAGATCTCCTCACACTCTACATCTATCAGCGACTATCGATTTTCGGATACTTATTAGTACCAAACACAAGAAAATCAGTTTTAATTGTTTCATATGGATACTCAGTATCAAACAAAATATATTTATCCAAATACTTAATTCCAAGCATATGAAGTTTGTTCGGATATTCAGTGTCGAACACTAGAAAATTGGTTCCAGTTATTTCATATGGATACTTAGTGCCGAACAAAATATATTTGTTCAGATACTTAACTCCAAGTATATGGAATTTGTTCGGATACTCATTTCCCAATGAATTTGAAAAACCAAACTACAAAAAACAATGAAAAACAATTAAAAACTACTTTCTTTATAGAAAATTGTTTGGAAACATTTTCTTTATTGTTCATTATTGATTTCAATATGAAATAGAATGTAAGAATGATGAATTAAAACAAATAGGGTTGGGTTAGGATTGGGTATGAAGATGCAAAGTGATGAAAGCAGTAAGAGAAGAGAGAAAATGAATATTGAGGTTGATGATTAAGTGTTAGAGGTCACTATTGTGCAAGCCGCTCAGCAGTGATTGTTGTGCGGCTCATGAATATTATTTCGGATTTTATTTTCATCATCTGAACCATTAAATTTTTAAAGAACATAGAGTAGAATATATCTATAAAATATCAAGTTGATCGGATATCGATAGACCATTCATCAATTCGAATTTGTATATATAAAAAATAAATATATAAGTATTAAACTGAATACAAATGTGAGTTGATGAAGGGTCTATCGATATCCGATTAACTTAATTTTTTTACAGATATGTTCTACTCAACATTCTTTAAAACTTGAACGGTTCGGATGATAAAAATAAAGTTCGAAATAATTCTCATGAGCCGCACAACAGTGACTCAAAATCCTCTATGCTGTGCAAGCCGCATAGCAGTGACTCAAAATCCGATGATTAATGGGGTGTCCAAAATACTTTTGTTTACACTTTTTTCAATATCAAGTCTTTTTTAATCATTTTAAATAGGAATTTAATAGTAAAAAATATATATAATTAAGTTAGGATATATCCAACCTAATTTTTTGGGATGCAAATAAAAGCTCTCTTGAGGACCTTAACTCCTACTATAAAATTGGTTGTCCTTATTCTTCCAAAGTAATATTAGTAGGAATTTTAAAATAAAAATCCCGAATAATAAAGGTAAAGTGGGTATTTAAAAATTAAAAAAAAAAATCACTTTTTTGCTAAAGTCGTCAATATCTATTTTTGCTACCTTCGAAATTTAAATAAAAAAGAACAACGATATTTTAAAAAATAAAAGAAGTAAGTGTAATTTTGTAGAAACAGGAGTGTCAATTAATGTAATTCACTCTTAGGTTCTATTTGTTTTCAGTGATAAAATGGAATGGATTTATAGTGATTGGATTGTTATACTGTGTTTGGTTGGGGGAATTTGGAAAGGGAAATAGAAAAGGTGTGTAAAATTAGGTGAAATGTAGGTATATTTTATTCACATTTCACCTAACTTTTCCCTTTCCGTTTTCAAATCCCTCCTCAAATCCCCCAACCAAATAAAGCGTTAGTGAGATGATTGATAGTGAGGGTATTAAGTAAAATTGTGTTTGTTTTGATGATAGTTGTTAGTGTAGGGATTGTTAAATTATTTTTATATAAAATAATAAAACAAATAAAAAATACAAAAACATTAAACATTAATGTTAAAAAAAAATGCCCAATATGTAAAAAATTAAAAATTAAAAAAAAATAGAAAAAATAAAACAAATAAAATAATGATTTTTACTTAACAAAAAATACAAAAAATTAAACATTAATTTCAAAAAAAAAAATGCCCAACATGTAAAAAATAAAATAAATAAAAAATTTCTAGTCCTTGGAACTATTATTCTAATACCATCTCCACCTCATCCATCCCAATCTCCCTTCCAAGGCCTATCTTAATACCAAGGGAAACATCTCATATAATGGGTTACACCTCACTATCAATCCCAATCTCCTTCTTATAACCCCAAACAAACGGAGCTCTATAGACAACATAGACGTGTATATATATATATACTAGTTGGCCCCCCATGTGGTCTGGGCATGGGGGTTGCATTACAGTTTCTATATAAATACTTTTGAAATTGTATTTGATTTATGAATTTAAGAAGTGAATTAAAAAATATATATATATATATTCAACAACCAAGTTGACAAAAATATAGAGAAAAACACTATATTTATTTAATAATAAAAAAATAATTCATCCACGTAATTT